CAGGCCCTAAGGGGTAAGGTGACCATGATCAACTGGTCACCCAGCAGATGCTTCCCTAAGACCAACTGTCCCAGCTCTGTCCTCCTCCCCCATCCCACTGTTTTCTTTCCCCAGCGTCCTACCAATCTGCTCTGCCTGGCTCCTGTTTGGTCTCAGGTCCCTCAGGAGTGATATTGTGATGGAAATGAGGGAGAGGATGCAGGAGAGAGCAGCAAAGATTTACAGCTCTCAGAGGGTTTCCATTAAAATCACCGACAGCTGGTTATTTATGAGACGCTGCAACGGGAGCTCATAGGCCAGAGCCTGGCACGACTGTCCTTTCCGGGCTGATGACAGGAGCAAACGCAGGGTGAATACAGCAAACAGTGGAGCTGCCCTCACTGTAGAGCAAAGCAAGCTTCAACCCGAGTGACAGCCAGGAAAGCAGAGAGTAGCAGTGATTTGGGCCTGGCAAACCTGAAACAGACAAATCCACAAGATAAACACTGAGGGACTTACTGGGTCTGGGCATGAAAAACTGAAGCAGAATGATGGAGGGTCCTAGTTGTCAAAAAATTTGGACCATGTCCTATGAACTCTAACTCAGAGGCTAGAGTGTGTGGCAAAATCCAGGTCCAACCCTGTTGTTTTTATTGTTGTTTTGCTCCTAAGGCACCCACCTGACTAAATAAATAAATAGTAAAACAACAGTCAAAGCCCCACAAGTTTGTTTGCTCTGCACTTGACACACAGCCTTTTCTCAGCTTGGGGTTTTCCCTTTGAGTAATGAAACAAAGATCCTGCTTCTGCTCCCTGAACAAAGGTCCCTCCTAGAAGCCCTTTCTTCCTCTGCCAGTCAAATTAATTTTATTTTTTTCAAGATGGAATCTTGCTCTGTGGCCCCGGCTGGAGTACAGTGGCATAGTCACAACTCACTGAAGCCTCCAACTCCTGGGCTCAAGCAATCCTCCTAAGTAGCTAGGATTACAGGCTCTTACCGCCATGCCTGGCTAAGTTTTTTTTCTTTTCCTTAAACAAAAACAAAAAAAAATTTTTTCTTGTAGATACGGGATCTTAAAATGTTGGGATCACAGGTGTGAGCCACCGTGCCCAGCCAAAATAAAGTCTTGATATATGTACCAGGGATGAGGTAAGGAGTGGGAATGAGGCAAGGATGCTTAGGTGAAATTTTGCATACCCCCAATTTTTTTTTTGCTTTAAGTTTGCAATACATGAGAGAATATTGTAAAAGTGTGTATAATCACAGAATCGGGCTTCTTTTAAATCAGAAGAGTTCTTAGAGACCCCCATAACATTTGTCCTGTTTTCGAATGAGGAGACTAAGGTCCAAGAAAATGAGATGGCTTGCTTAAGGCCTTGCAGTGGGGTCATAGGGTCCACTATGTTATTAGTGAAATAATAATTAGCCCAGTGGGGTGGTGTGCGCCTGTAGTCCCAGCTACTTGGGAGGCTGAGGCAGGAGAATCGCTTGAACTGGGAGGTGGAGGTTACAGTAAGCGGAGATCATGGGACTGTAGTCCAGCCTGGCGACAGAGCAAGACTCCATCTCTAAATAAATTAATAAATTAATTAAAATAAAAAATTGGCCCTGCC